CTATTCCACAGAGAGGTTGTACGTGGAAGAAAAGTCCTTGCGAAACGTACAGTGGTGGACCGCCAAACATCCAGATGGTGTGGATGGTATCGGGACGTTTGACGTGTAGTGCGTTCACGAAATTTGGTGGCTGGGATTAATCCGAACAATTCCTCAGAGCACTCCCCCGTGATAGATGCGATAAAATACGCAAAGAGATGCAACATCTCTTCGCAGCGCCAGTGAATCGAGCCGATCGGAAAGCACTCGGTCGTTGACGATTCGAGCCGCTCTGCGCTGGATGCGGTCAAGTGGAAGAAGCTGGTACTGGGGAGCCCCAGCCCAGAGATGGGAACAGTATTCCATGTGCGGCCGAACCTGCGCCTTGTAAAGTTGCAGGCGGTGTGCCGGCATGAAATACTGTCCCGCTCTGCTGAGCACGTCAAGCTTTTTAGAGGCCAATTTGGCCTTCCCTTCCAAGTGACCACGAAACTGCACGTCACTCGATATGTCGACGCCGAGGATTCCGATACTGGCTGAGGCAACAAGGGGAGTGCCTTGAAACTGAGGGGATACGACAAAGGGGTTCTTTTTAGCGGTTAACGCGCAAACTTGTGTCTTCTGGGGGTTAAACTGGACTAGATTTAGTCGCCCCCAATCCGAGACTCTGTCCAGCAGAGACTCGACTAGTTTATCACAGAGAATCTCCGAATATAGCTTGCTGAACGCTGAACCTTGAGCTTTTGGTTAAAGAACCAGGTCTCAAATATATTTGTCATCAGACCACCAAAATGATAGACAGATCGCTGGGTATTTCAGTGATGCTGTAACCATCATACTCAACATCTTGACACGTAGACACGCACTTATCTTTCTACGTTCTTTCTTTCGGAGCCAGTAGAAGTTAATCAGTAAAGTAAAAGTAATTTTATTGGTTGCAAATGATTTTACTAGCATGTGTATGTATGTCAGTACATTTATTAGCAATCATTTGAGCATGATTTTGGATGATTTTTGCGTTATTTAAAATAAAAAAAATATTTAAGTTACACACAAAAACGCTAATATGAAAAAAACGACTTGTATATGTAACCTACTACATTGATATAACCCAGACATAAAAAAATTTATATCAATGATCGTAAGCGTGTTTGCTGATCATGAGGTCCGGGTATTGGATTTTGCTGACAAGAAGGTCTCAGTAGCAGCCCGAAGACAAAGAGAAGAGAATTAAGAAGTAGGAAATATTTCGCCCACGTGCCTCGGAAAGCGCAATAAACTATTGGTCCTGCACCTGATCTCCTTCCGGGCGTGTCGTGTCCCATCGCAGTATGAGAGTTAGGAATTAGAGAGTGCACCTGGACTGGCGAATACACTTAGACCCTATAGACCAGTCCTGCATAGACGGCTAGTCTCCGTTGAGATTGGCTGCAGTGACCGAGATTTGATCTGGAGGACATTCTAATTACGAGCAATATAATATACTCTTTTTGATTACATTGTTATGTTTGTTCATGTGTGTCTCATAAAAAATATAGTAGAATATTACAAGTTATAACGATACGTTTTAAAATATTTAAAACTAATTCTGCACAAAGTTTTTTGGATTAAATTTTTTTGTTTTATACGAAAATAAATACAAACATGGGATATATTGTGTGGTGTTGTCACCGGAGAACATCAAACTCCACAAAAAAGAAAAGTGGGCGCAGTAATTCGAATAATAAACAAGACTAGAACATTACTTTCGTGTGCATATTAGATTCTATTAAATAATTACAAAAAATTTGGTGTTATTAATTTTTATTTAGGAATTTAACGAGAATTGAAACATGTATCAGCATCTTTCTTGACAAATAAACATAATAACAAAGAAGCTGCGGTGAATATCCCACCTGCCATTATGACAACTATGACAAAATGAGGCAATAGATAGGTAAAAATTATGTTATATACCTTACCTACTTTATGTGATGTAGCTGCGCTCTCAGAAATACAAGCGTTAACTAGCAGTGTTTCGCATTGTGAGCGTAGAATTCCGGAGACCCTATCCTCTCTTTCTTCTATCTTATCTTTGTTCGAGGAGTGACAAAGCATATGATTCTTAAACGAAGATAAGATGTAGGTATCCAACCGTCTTTTTACCTGGTAGTAATATTCTGTAGCTACATAATAGTTGCACAATAGATCGGCTTAACCAGGGAAGGATCACGCTTCCACAAAAAAAGTAATGTAAAATAGCAGCTTAATGAGGTTATATTTCGTATGGTATGTGTAGAGAATGGGAGATCTCCTCTCACTATCGGACTAGCATGGGCAGGAGACAAAAATTTATCCCCCGACTATATCCACTGACAAGAGATAAAATTAACTTACCCATTCTTAATCCACATTCTTCAAATTTAACATTTTCGAAACAATTATCCATAAAAAGGTTGAACGGCCACGGGAAAACCAAACAGGACTGTCTGACACCTTTTATGGATGCCAAACTAATCCAAGTAGAACCCGTTAATCCTAACACGAGCACTAAAGTCCCTAAAGGGACTTTAATGCCTGTACCAATCCAGCGTTCAACCCAAATGGGTGTTTGACATAGCACATTTTTGAATTTTTTTTGAAAATATCCCCGTCCACTCTGTTATAAGCCTTTTCCAAGTCCATGAACGCAGAAAAGACCTTTTGGTTTTTGGCCAAAAACTTCTCCGCGATCATGCGCTTGGAAAAGACTCGACTTGTACACCCCATTCCTTTTCTAAATCCCGCTTGCGCATCCCAAATTTTTCCATCAGTTTCTTTCATGAGCCTTTCAAATAGTTTCCCACAATGCTAAGAAGGCTGATTCCACGGTAGTTTTTACAGTATTGCTACGGCCCGTTTCCTTTATAAATTGTAATTAACATGGCTTTGCACCTGTCTGCCGGTACCCGCTTCAGTTCTCAGTATAAATTAAGAAAGGTATACAGCGGGCCTGCAACCACTTTCTCTCAAGACCTTAGCATTTCGAGTGAAACTGTATCTTACTCGGTTGTCTTACCTGCTTTAATGCTTTCTCATTTTAGTCTCCGAACTTTTTAATCAATCATTATGAAAAGATTAACTGCAATGCATTTTATCCATTTGCCAATAACAAAATAGAACCTCTCACAAATGTAAGCATAATATTTCTCGCTATGGGTAAATTAAACACACTGAAATGTAAAATATCCCTATAAGCTATCATTTTGGATGTTACATTATACTCTGAAGCTTAAATAGAGACATCAGGCGTTACTTTGTGGAAATACGTTATATTAAAATTGATAAGAACTACTTCGACCATATCCGCTTAATGAAATAAAATTATGTACCTTACCTAGTATGAAGAGTACCTACAATCTTACCCCAATTGCGTGCACAATCCCCGTCATCACTAAACCCAGCATCACTACTCTCAACACCACTACACGCCACCTTCGATAATACGACACCTGTTTTGCCTCTACATACGGCATCCTCAGATGTAGTGAACTCTGCCAAAACAGCTGCTATTTATACAACTCGCCACTTAAATTGCCTCCGACCGCGTCATTTGATAAAACATACGACCAGACCAGACCACCACCTGACATGCACAGCTTCCTGCTGTATAAATAATAAACAACAAACTGCCGGTAAACGCTCGCCTACTCTCCAATCACACAACCAATCACTAATCACCTTGAGGCTAATCAGCGACCATATGTCGAGCCTGTCTATTATTACAGAGCCGATTTAGAGATATTTAATAGAGGTAAGTTAGGAACATTTGTTTGTTCATTAAGCAGTGCAACATTACTATTTTTATAATGTCTCTAACTGTTCCAGCAGACACAGTCCCTTTAATACAAGTATGTAAGATTTTAAAAGAGTGGTTGTTGGCTAGATTGTGTCCATAACCAGAGATGTTTAACATAATAAGATTTATCGGGATTGCAATTTCTATACACAGCTAAATGCTCTTTGTAACGTGTCTCGAATTTGCGACCAGTCTGAACCACGTTAGTGGCGTGGCATGCGTCACAAACAAGTTTGTAAACACCCGACTTTTGACAATTAGCCAACTTAAGAAAAGAAACAAAAACAGCGAAACAAAAATTAGCGAAGTAATTCCTACCAACTTTAATGTTGTGTCATATTCATAATTCTTATGTATATATGTGTATACATTACCAAATCTTATGGGTAATTTTGAACTATGGAGCATATTGCTCACACACACCACGAGCGTGATGCGGTTGTTTCATATGATGAGTGACAAGAATCGAAGATAATGTAAATTTTAGACTAATATAACGTAGACTTTGCTATATGTTTGTAAAATATGTTTCTTAATATGTTTTTCTTGCCTTATCTAATTTTATCTTACAGCTAAAAATAAAAATATCCCACTGTATACAGGATTTGTAATCACCATTCCATAGCAGGCGAGTTAATGTGATAAAATCATTATAGTATATTAATTTAATAATTTGTGTTGAATACATTACCGTAAATGTTGGATTTGTTATTCGAACAAAGATGAGTTAATGAGATAAATGTACGTGTGCGTGAGAGGGAAGAAAAATGAGCATAATAGCGAGAAGAAGAACGGAGAGACGTATGCAGATTGTAAGACAAATTGCGAAAATTAACACGTTTACTGCGTAACAGGCCGATATCGGCCTGCCGCGGTACTTGAACTGGTGCGGACGAAGAAAACTATGTCCCTCTCGCTTGTGCGAAACGATTATCTCAGGTGTTTGTAAAAATTCGACAGAGACAAATATATATTTCATCTTGCGGTAAATGCCGTAGTTGTTCCCCATCAAAACATAACGGCAGGCTTTTATTGACCTACCACGCACTGACGGTGAAAAAACATCCGCGAGTGCGGCAGTGGGCCTATTTCGGCCCGCCCTCCCACCAGGCAGCTGGCGACCCGATACCGCACAGAGCGCGCGCCCCGCCAGTTAGTGTTGTGCTATCTAACAGCTCTGTCGTAGCGTCCGATATTATCAACAATGGCAAGCAATAAAAGAAAAATACAAATTTTGGAAAATAGAGTAATTCGCCCTGCAGTTATTGACAGTGATAGTGACAGCAGGGAAGAAATATTTTCCACTAAGAAAACTAAAAAGGATTTGGAAACAAATGTGCACGGAAAACAAAGCACAAGCGGTAAGTTTTATTTACTACCTACACATATCAACATATCAGCCTTAGACGCATAATGACGTGGGGATTTTTTATATAATACCATCCTTTATGAAAAAGATTATTCTTAACACTTTCATTGCATTTTAATGATTTATTTTCAACAGTTGATGTCGAGAAAATTTAGTTTTTTTGAACATCTTTTCAATTGAACCATAATCCGTCCGCTTTTACCCCAACACTCCTTTTTCTCGCTAAATAAGACACAATAAGAGTCACAGTAAACTTTTTTGTCAACAGCGGTCGTTTTCAGTTGCCCCAGTGGAAGAAAATTTCATATTCTTAAACCAGTCTCGTTTTCACATGTAACTAAAACAGGTATGTCTTAATTTAAATAATTTATTTGCTTTTAGTGTTATAGTTTCTGCTGAGCATCTATTGACAGATATCTCTCTCTCTCTCTATCTCTCAAAATTTCATATTTTATTTAATTTTTTACTTATATTACTGTAAAGTTTCATCTAAATCCGTTCAGTAGTTTTTGCGTGAAAGAGTAGCAAACATCCATACATCTAAACTTTCACATTTATAATATTAGTGTAGATTAATTTTATTCCACTTACCTTTTTTTGCATTACAGAATGTAAAAATAAACCTACACCACAGACATCAAAAGGATTGTCTTCGCCTAGCTCATCGTCATTGGAACGATTTAGTATGTATAGCTCAAGAGGATGCAGTCCTTCGCTAAACAATATATCAGCTTCTAAGCTTATGCACGGCATCAAAATAGATGAAAGCGAATATCATGACTTGATAAATCTAAGAAACGATAATAAAAAGATAAAAAAGAAAAATGAAATAGAAAGGAAAGATCCAAAGACAAAACTTACATTCACTTATTCTTTTGAAGACAGTATGTCGCAAGGGTTAACTGAAAGTAATGAAAATTGTGTTTTTTATGACGAAGAACGTAATAAACAGTTTGAAGAAAATGAAAGACAGAAAGAAACACTTAATGACGAAGCAGAGAGAGAGAAAGAAACAGAAAATGTTGATGTAGAAGATGTAGAAGAGAGAGAGGAAGAAACAGGAAATGCTGAAGAGGAAGATGAAGATGCAGAGAGAGAGGAAGAAACGGAAAATACTGAGGAGGAAGATGAAGAGCAGGAAAGTGGTGACACAGGCGATGATGAGAGTGATGAATATTCTGCAAGTGAAGTTGTATCGGATATAGATAATGATGTTTCAGAGGAAGAGGAAGATGCACAGGATAATAGTGTCAATGAATGGGATGCTGTCGCAGATTTGACACATGAGTTGGATGCGTGTACTTTAAATGAAAGCACTTTTAATATTCATATAGAAGATATATCTTCTGCAGGTATTTTTTCCTTATTTGTAACTGATGAAATAATAGATAAAATGGTTACAGAAACTAATAAATATGCGTTAAAACACATCGCAGAAAAGCAAAATAATAACGAAATAAAAACAAAATCTCGGTTATTATTATGGAAAGCTACGAATAATATAGAAATGCGGAATTTTCTAGGGGTACTACTCGCAATGGGTCTGAACAAAGTGTCTCATATAAATGACTATTGGTCAAAAAAATCAATATATCGAAACGAATATATTGTATCTGTAATGACTCGGGATAGATTTCTGCTATTACTGAAATTCTGGCATTTTTGTGATGATTCGTCAGCCATCCACAATACAAATAAGTTGAAGAAAATTCATGATTTGGCTAATATGCTCAACAGCAGATTCCAAGAAGTATTAACGCCAGGTAAATTCATTGTTATAGAGGAATCAATGATACCATGGCGTGGCAGGCTGAAATTCAAACAATACATTAAAAACAAATCACACAAGTATGGTGTTAAAATTTACAAGTTATGCACTCCAGAAGGGTATATATATAATTCAATAATTTATTCTGGAAAGGGAGAAAATGGCCGTGAACAAAATCATGGTAAAGTCACCGTACTGAAACTCATTCAAGGGCTGGAGAACAAACGTCGTGTAGTAATTGCAGACAATTTCTACTCTTCAATTGAATTGGCGGAAGAACTCTTATTTCAAAAAAACCCGTTATTGCGGTACCCTAAATTCGAAGCGAAGGGGGCTACCTAAGGAGATAGTGTTACTAAAGTTGAAGAAGGGTGAAATCAAAGGAGCTATGAATAAAAATGGCGTTAAAGTTATTAAATGGGTTGACAAAAGGCAAATTCTAATGATATCTACTCTCAAAGAGGACAAAGATGTGCTTGTCAACACTGGCAAAAAAAATAGGAAGACGAATGAAGATATAAAAAAGCCTACATGTGTCTTAACGTATAATAACAACAAAAAAGGAGTTGACTTCAGCGACCAAATGTCTTCATACTATTCTACATTAAAAAGAGGGCTCAAATGGTTCAGAAAAGTGGGTATGGAATATTTGTTAGGCATGGCGTTAGTAAACGCGTGGATCACATACAACGTGAAATGTGATAAGAAGGTTTCAAAAAAAGAATTTACAGAGGCATTAATGCAATCATTAACTGGAAAAAGTATATGCGCTGATAGTAAGTATAATGACGTGTAACATCACTGTAGGCATATGTAGATTATTGTTGAAGGCGATTCCTAAATTTCCGTGTTTCAACATCGTCAGACGTTCTACATCTGCAACAGGTAACTATTGTCATTATTTTGAACATATTACCAGTGTTACGGTGGCTGCGCATGGTCTTCGTGCATGAGCTTTGTGCTGACTCTGTTATTTTCTGCGAGCAATGTTTGGCGTTGTTTGCACTACTGTTCTATTATGGTATGTTATGGCACTGTTTACTTACTCAATAACACCTAATGCGAGTTCTTATTTCGGGGCACTCAGCTGCATTTATCATAAAAATAACGCTTTAAGTGGTCTACTTGATTGCACAAAATAGACATTAGGTCCTGTTACCACTATATTATACACCATATACATAATTTTATACCTATATATACAGGCTGTTAGGGTTATCACCGCTGTCCTTCAAGGAGGTAACTCAGTATCGTTTATACAACAAATTTCCCTATCATGTCGTAAACTCGAAAAAAATTTTTGGCTTCCCATACTAACCGATCCGATCAAATGATTAAAAATTGTATTTGAGGAATAAACTATCTGATTTTTTTTGTATGAAAAGTGAGAATATTTTTTTTAAGATTTCAACATGGGTCCCATAAGGAAAGTTGTTGTATAAGCGATACTGAGTTATCTCCTTGAAGTACAACCCTACACCTATACAACATGTAATTCCAAAAAGCGCAAAACCTCCCGTGGGGTAACTCAGCCCATGTTACAGAACAATTTTTTGTTCTGAGATTCGCAAAAAAATATTTTCACTTAATTTAAAATGACCTTATACACCGTGTAACGGAAGGGGGGTATCAACCCTGAAGGAGGTGAATGTGCTCATGAAACTGAACAACTTTCCCCAAAGAATATAGGTCGAAGTATGAAAAAAAATGTTGGACCTCCCGTAGTAGTAAATCAATCAGCTGGTTGTCAATTTTGTAAGGGAAGGCCAATTTTTTTTTCATATTTCGACCTATGTTCTCTGGGGAAAGTTGTTCAATTTCGCGAGTTCTGTGGTAAAACTCAATGTTTAATAAATCACACGGAATTAAGCAAAAAAATTCATTTCAGAAAATCAAGTAAAACCTAAGGACAATGACCATGTTCTTGAAATGAGCGCTAAACGAAGAAATTGTGCAGGGTGCTACGACAGACTGCGGAAAATCTTTAATAGTACCGAAGCAAAAAAAAAAGTAAAGAAAATAAAGAAATATTGCAGGAAATGCAACCAAAACCTTTGCGTAACATGTTTCCAAGATAGGCATAAGTAAATAAAAACATTTTACAGTTCTTTTACGATAATTCTGTTTTATTTTCGATATCCCCTTATTTTTCTCTGTCCCGTCACTACTAAAAATACTTTCTAGTGCGGTTCAGGTCGATATCGGCCTGCCGCTTTTCCTGCTTTATTTCTCATTTCTTGTTTGGCAGATCCCGGGGCGAATCAAACCTATGAACGTTGGGTTCAAGCTCATTCTAACAATATAAAAAAAATGTATACATTATGTTTCCACAAAGTTATAGCAATTTAATCTATCCTAGTGCTGGTGGGTCTAGATCGACCACTCACGCACTGGCGGAAACATCATTGGGGGCGCATTTTGGCCCGCCGCCGCGCTAGATGAAGTATTATGATTTTACTTGCCGCAGTAAACGTGTTAATTAAAGAAGCCGAGTTTCTTGATGACAATTTCATTTATCTTTCCGACATATAATTGTAATTTTAATGCTCATTATTAAAATAACATGAGGGTGTGTTATAAATATGTGTTTGAAAATGGCGCGTTAAGATCCTTCGTTTTTCATTTTGATGAAATTATTCATGAAGAAATACTGAAGAAGCGTAATTTGCGGTCCTACTAATAATCGTTAAACATAATAATATCTATACTTGTCCCTTTCTATTTTAATTAGTGAAATGTATCTGCTTGGATAAAGTACCATACTTATTTTTAGTGAACTTGTCTCTTCACTAACTTCACTTTGACAATGGAATAATGTGAAGGCATTTTATTAAATTGACGTTGATTTTTACGAGTAAGACCACAGAGTTTTAGATATGTGTATGTTCAGTACCTACTAATAAATGGAAAATATTTAAAAAAAAATCTTTTCCAAACATTTCGGTTATTAGTTGAAACAAACTTTTTTCTTCGAATCAATCTGTATAAACTTGTTCAACACTCCGTTCATATAATTTTTTTAGAAGTACTTTGTAGTTATATTTAAACTTGTTGAAATTTTATTTCAGTTTCTGACCTGGTTTTCTGATAAAATGTTAGGTTAAGTATGAGATTTGTCACCGATGCCTGTATGATATGACAGATGATAGATTAACAGTGAGATTTAATGTATTTTGAGGTGAGATAAAGAAGACAAACTGTAGTCTTTATTCGCCTACAGCTTTTAAAGTGTTTGCTTTATAAATGAAATGTTGCAGTTAGTACTTTTTACGTTTTAATATAAAAATATTCAACTTCTACTTTTTCCGAGTCGTGAACATGATCATTTTAAATTGAAAGATTCGCTTAAAGTTTTAATTAAAGTATTTGCCACCTTTGAAAGTATATTTAGGATACCAGATTTCCAGAGAATGAACATATATTTAGGATAATTATTAACATGTCCAGAAGTAGTAACACCTAATCTTCAATACGGTTTCAATACTTTACAAATAAAATTGCACGGATTAGAGATTGTTGTCAAAGCATTTGAAAGTGTTGTCTGCATCAAAATTCCGAAAATCAAATCTTCTTATTATGTCACGGTGTATAGCCAGTCAAAGGTATTGACAGACAACACTGACCTATATTATACTAGTATAATAGGGTTCAGTCTTGAAATCATACAAAATTCACCTCTTATTCAGTCAATCTGTCAGTAATTATTTCTACAAGCGGTACTTAGACGACACTTTCACAATTTTACTTTAATTTTATTCTTTAGCCTTCCTAGATGTTTTAGTCATCCGAAATCCTAATAACACAATTGGTCACACTGTGTATAGGAAGCTCAAATTAAATTTTGAATCTCACCATCATCCTTTACAGTTAGCTGCTGTGGGTAAATCTTTGTTTCAGAGAGCACAAGGGATCTGTGACAGAAAACATCCGGCCGCCGAGCTTCAGCACGTCAAGCAAGTATTGCAAGACAACAAGCTTTGGGTCCACGCCTACGTCGCAGTGAACGAGTGAAGCCGGCCACAGTCGAGCGTGTGCCTGCTGTATTACCATATGTCAGATAAGTCACAAACAAGATTGGCTACATCTTGAAGCGAGCTTCCATTAAAACATACTACACGCCGCCGAAGAAGATTAGTCAATTTGTCCCATCCATCAAATGTAATATTCCTCTACAAGATGCAGGTGTATACAAGCTAGATTATGAATGTGGTCTCTCTTACATTAGTCAAATAAAAAGATCTATAAAAACCCGCGTGAAGGAACATATAGCTGACGTGAAGCATTGACGCTCCGGGAAGTCTGCAGTCTGCGAACATGGTCAAGATCATCCCCACCACTACATTAGATTTGATAAATCACAAATTCTCGCAAAAGAAAAAAAAAACAAGGATTATACACGAGACTATTGAAATTAAAAAAACATCTAAATTTCAATAGAGAAGATGGATAAGTGTTGCCATCTGCTTGGGATTCTATAATTAACAAAATTAAATCCAAACCCAAGCACACCACTGCAAGACTTCATGATACTATAAGCTCGTTTTGCGTAAATCGGAGCAAAAATTAATATTTAAAAACTGAAGGTAGCCGGACTATCACATCGGGACGTCAAACATCTCAGTCGCCCCCGTGACTATGGTTGCTGTAAAGAACCCGAAACATCGGGATAGTAAAAATAAGTAAATTAGTAAACGCGATAAATCCCTAAATAATAGTTTCATTCAGCTAATAATATTTCACACAAACCTTAACATATTTTCTTAACAATTTAATTTACAATTTGATTTAATAACATATAACCTTATTCCCAAATACTACTACCCTAGCGGCAAAAATAAATTTTAAATACCTATATTATCAAAATACTACTTTTATTTTTTGTTATTGTCTCTAAAACTATGTGTTTAAAATAAAAATTGAAAATCTATTAATTTCACATATGAGGGGTTACTTTATGCTATAATGCTTATATTTTTTTTTGTAAAATGAAGTAAAAAAGGTTTAAATTAATTAAGGACTTCTTATGTAAAGTTACAAACCAAAAACACTTTGCTTTAAACTTAATTTTAAATGCCCTAAAAAAATATTAAATGTTCATGTCTTAATAATATGCAAATAAGATGCAATGAACTTAATAGAAATCAGATATTACTGATAGACTTCGGATGTGTGTTAGTGGGTTGGGGCGAGAGGGTGCCCTATTACCCTACTGCTGCAGTCGAGGTGTAGTCGCGTAGTAAGAGGACTGTTAGCATGGCGATGCGCCATTCACCCTACCTTCCGTAACTCTGACGGGGTCGCACCGTTAGTTAATGCGGTGGTGTTGGGCTCCGGAGGGAGAGGAGTGTCGGTATTACGAGGCGCCACTCTCTATACCCTCCGCAGCCAAATTTTGGTTGGCGGCGGAGCCATAGACCAGATCCGCCGCTGTGACCAGAAAGGCTTATGCTCCTAAGTGCTCATTTTTCGTAGCTTTCGCGCATCGGACACGGGGGTGTCTGTTGCGCATTTGAAGTAGGAGGCCGTCATATATCATGGTGCGCCTTTCCTGAGAAGAAGATGGGAAAGCATTGGTCCTCTCCCGAAGAGTGGCCATGGGGTTCTAGTCGGTGCAAATCGGACATAACCCTTTTCTTTTCTTTTTCCAACAAATCCTTGTCCCCGCAAGGAGGGTATATAAAAAAGACACTTCAATTTAATTTATAGGTTAGGAGGTAAGTTTAAGTAAACTAATCGTGTAATCACTTTGCCATGTAGCAAAGGGGGGACGCCCATTTTCGGCCATGGAACGCCCAA